AGGAATATCTTGCCGCTGTGCCGTAGGATAGGAGGGAGACATGACAACAAACCAGGCGCGGTGTATTGTTGTTTTGTTTTCTTTTTTTCGTCTCAATTTTTTTTATTTTTTTTTTGAGAGAGAAGTGGAACTTTTTTTTTTTTTTTTTTTGAGAGAGAAGTGGAACTTTTTTTTTTTTTTTTTTTGAGAGAGAAGTGTAACTTTTTTTTGTCTCGATTCTCTCTTTCGATGGCGCTATCCATGGAGTTCGTCTTCGAGCTTCGCTATGTTGTCGTCCGTGGTGTTGTTGTCGTCCGTGGTGTCGTTTTCGGTGAAAAAGAGGTGGTGTCGTTATCGTCCGTTGTGTTGTTTTCGGTGAAAAAGAGGGGGCTTTTCGCTTTGGAGAATGTGGTGGCATGCTCTCTCTCTCTCTCATACTCTCTCTCTCTCTCTCTCTCTCTCTCTCTCTCTCTCTCTCTCTCCGTCTCGCGCGCGCGCGGGCGCGGGCTTTTCGCTTTGGAGAATGTGGTGGCATCCTGAGTGGGTGCAGTTCTCTCTCTCTCTCTCTCTAGCGTGCGCGCTGTCTTCATACTTATTAGATTGATAAGATAGTAATATATTCTCTTTTGAAGTAAAATATTGTGATTGTGACATTGATTATTCTAGATTGAATAGAATCAATTATTGTAGAATTTTAATTAATTCTATTCACCCAAATAAGATTGTATTCTATATGGATGTAAATTATTTGTGGCATAGCCACACCACTCTCCACATGTGCAAAATGAGAATGAACTTCCCGCCACTGCCGCCAGAACATGGCCAGATGCACCCGCCACATGTTTTCAGGATTTTAAAGACTTGGTGTTCGCTTCTGGAACTGCGCGCACACCCTGTCTGGGAGGAAGGGAGAGCTCTCTCTCTCGGCATAGCCACACCACTCTCGAAATGTGCAAAATGAGAATGAACTTCCCGCCAGAACATGGCCAGATGCACCCGCCACATTTTTTCAGGATTTTAAAGACTTGGTGTTCGCTTCTCGAACTGCGCGCCCACTTTGTCAGCGTGCGCGCGCGCGAGAGAGAAGAGTTGGCACGGTACGAAATAGGGCCTCACGGAGGCTCACACCACTGCTCACCACATGTCCAATTGATTCGGCCCCGGAGACCTGGGCGCTTGGTAGATCACAAGGGACGGTGGAAGGATTTGCAAGAGTGGGGTGGGCGTAGGATGTAGTCGTGGAAACCACTGATGGTGACAGCGATCAGTGGAGATGGGGAGAAGGTGGGAAGTAAGGGGAAGATGGGAGCGAGGATGGTAGGAAAAAGAGGAGGGGGAGAAGGCTAAGAAGTAGGAACGGCGAAGGAGTGCGTCATGGGGATGAAGGGAAATAGAAAGAAGGGATCGGTGAATGTGATTGGGAAAGTGGCGTGAGTGGGATGCACGGAGTATAGTGCGGCCGTGGAAATTATGGGAGTAGAGGAGGAGAGGAGGAAGGGGAAGGCGGAGGAGCATGGATGTAAACAATGCAGGTACCTGGTAAGTTACCGTGTTCGTCAAATTTCCGTCATTTTTTTCGCTTTTTCCCCCTATCACTGTTCATTTTTTCCACTGCTCATCTTCTTCGTATTCGGGTCTGAAGGTTGGGTGGATGGTACGTCGCTAAGGACGGCAGAAGGATGCGATGAGCAGGTGCACATGAGAATACGGTATGGCCGGGGAAACTGCTGATGACAACGGCAATCAGTGGAGATGAGAAGAAGGGGGGAGTGACGGAGAGATGGAACCGAGGAGGTACGGAAGGATAGGAGGGGAAGACGAAGAAGCATGAACGGCGGAGGGAGCTAAAAAGAATTAAATGGGAATCTGACCGGGAAATTGGCGTAGGAGGGATGCACTAAGGGAGTAAAATGTGGATGGGGAAAATGCAGGAGGATGTAGGGTAGGAAAAGAGGAGGGGAGGACGAAGAAGCATAAACGAAGAAGGATTGTACTAAAAGGGGGAAGGAACTAAAGGAAGGGATCAGTGGATCTGATCGGGAAGGTGGGATGCACTGAGTATAGCATGGGGCGGGATAATGCTAAAGGAAACGGAGATAAAGGGAGATGGGGAGTAGGTGGGAGTGAGGGAGAGATGGAGCGGTAGAGGTGGGGAAGAAATGGCGAAGGGAAGGTGGGATGAACAGGGCGCACTAAGGAGTAGAGTGTGGAGCGGGATAATGGTGAAGG